TAGAGCCCTTGCCTAACATGTGTCAGGCCGTGGGTTCAATCCCCAGCAACCCACTCCCCTGCAAAAAAAATCTCCCCTCCATAAAAGAGGATGTCACATACATTGTGGGTAGCCTTATCCCCTACACCTCTAACCCTTCATGGCACTTAAGAAGTGCTCTGTGAATCCATAAACAGGAAAATCTAGCAGAGACTACTCCCAGAGAGGCCTCAGGGCTACTCCCCAGCCCATAGAGCTGCCTGTTAAAGTGTCAAACAGAAAAGAGGTACACACCTGCAACTGCAGCAACTGGGGAGGCTGAGGCAGGAGGATTGCAAGACTGAGGCTAGCCTCAGCAATTTAGCAAGACCTTGTCTCAAAATACAAAATAAAAAGGAGCTGGGCACCGTGGTGCACACCTGTAATCCCAGCAACTTGGGAGGCTGAAGCAGGAGGATCACAAGTTCAAAGCCAGCCTCAGCAACTTAGTGAGGCCCTAAGCAACTCAGTGAGACTCTGTATCTAATAAAAATATTTAAAAAGGGCTGAGGATGTAGCTCAGGGGTAAAGAGCCTCAGGATCTGATCTCTAGTATGCAAGGGGAAAAAAATTGTGGCAAGCAGAGCCTGAGGTCACAAAACACACCAGACTTCCCAGTACAGGTAGGGGGTATCAAAATTAGGAGACTCTCCTAAACTGTGCAGGCCTCCTGAGGTCTACTGTGCTGTGAGGAGCTAATGATGACTTGTCTTCAGACAGAGGCTCTGCCAATTTTTTTTTTTTTTTTTTTTTTTTTTGATACTGGGAATTGACCTAGGAGCTCTATACCACTGAATTACATCCCCAGCTTCCCAAGTCACTGGGACTTCTGGTGTTTACCATGATGCCCAGTCAGGCAACTGTCAGATTTTAAAAGATAAAATGTAGTCACTGCCCTCTCTGAGAGGATCTACTTCTCTTCCTTGAGGGTACGCCTCCACCCCCTGTTTTTTTCCCCCTTCTAATACATTTTGGTATACTTTGACTTTTTTTTTTTGTATGTGTGTGTGTGTGTGTGTGTGTGTGTGTATGGTGCTAGGCATTGAACCCTGGGCCTTACACGCGAGGCAAGCACTCTACCAACTGAGCCATATCCCCAGCCTGGTATACTTTGACTTAAAAAAAAAAAAAAGCTAAAATGTTACAATACTTTCCCAGTGCCCTCTAGTAACAACTCCCTTACACCTAGTTATAAAAGGAGCCAGAGAGGAGGTTCCCCAGACCTTTCCCGCCCAGGACCTCCTGTCCTCTGCTGTTTTGGGAATAATAAAACCAACACAGACACAGCACTGTTATTCCTGACCGAGTGGCAGATTCCAGGGATCTGCCTGTATTATTCTTTTGGACCTCTGCAGTATTTCACAATAAAAAATGAGTAACAAAAACCAATGGAACAGAAGACACAGTGACAAAGCCACACAGATACTGTCATTTGATAATAAATGGTGCTGGAAAACTGGATACCCATATGTAGAAGAATGAGACCAGATACCTCACCCTGCAGAGAACTTAAGAAAAAGAAGAAAGAAGAAGAAATTAGACCAGAAACTCTGCAAATGCTAGAATAAAAGCTAGTGTCAACACTCCGACATACTGACACAGGCATTGACTTCCTTAACAAGACCCCTAAAACACAAGAAATAAAACCAAGAATCAATAAGTGAGATGCCATAAAATTAAAAAGCTTCTGTACAGCAAAGGAAATGAGAATGTGAACAGAAAGCCCACAGATTGGGAAAAGATCTTTGCCCCCTGCTCCTCAGACAGGGGATTAATATCCTGAATATATTAAAAAACTCAACATACACACACACACACATAGAACCCAATTAACAAATGGGTAAAAGAACTAAATAGATACTTCCCAAAAGAACAAATACAGAGGACTAGGGATATAGCTCAATAGGTAGAGTGCTTGCCTTGCATGCACAAGGCCCTGGGTTCAATCCCCAGCACCACACACACACACACACACACAAAAAAAAAAAAAAAAAAGAAGAAGAAGAAGAAAAAGAAGAAGAAGAAATACAAATGGCTAATAACTATGTGAAGAACTGTTCAACATTTCTAGCAATAGGGGAAAAGCAATTGAAAACCACATTAAGATTTTATCTCACTCCAGTCAGAATGGTGATTTACAAATAAAAATAAACGTGGGCAAGGATATAGGGGGGAAAACACAGTTCTAAATTGGGGTAGAACTACAATTTAGTACAACCACTCTTGAAAAGTACTATGGAGACTCCTCAAAAAACTAGAAATGGAACCACCACATGTCCCAGCTATCCCATTCCTTGGTATATTTCCAAAAGATTAGAACTTTGATTTTAGAATCAGCATACTAGAAGGATACAGCCACATCAATGTTTATAGCAGCCCAGTTTACAATAGCCAAGCTCTGAGACGAGCCTAGGTGCCCATCAACAGATGAATGGATAAAGAAAATGTAGTCTATACACACAATAGAGTTTTACTCAGCCACAAAGAATAAAATTATTGGGCTGGGGTTGAGGCTCAGTGGGAGAGTACTTAGCACATGGGAGACACTGGGTTCAGTCCTCAGTACCACATAAAAAAATAAGTAAATAAGGTTATTGTGTCCATCTACAACTTAAAAAAAAAAAAAAAAGAATGAAATTATGGTATTTGCTGGTAACTGGATGGAACTGAAGAGCATAATGCTAAGTGAAGTAAGCCAGACCCAGAAATTCAAGGGTCAAATGTTTTCTCTCCTATGTGGAAGCTAGAACAAAATGAGTCAAAAAAGGGGAGGAGAGGTTTCCATGAAAATAGAAGATACATCACAGGAGTAGAGGAAGGGGATTTTAAAGGGGAAGGAGGGACAGGAAAAGGGAGGAAGAGTGGAATGAGTCTGGACCAACTTTCTTATGTACATATATGAAGATATCGCAATGAGTAACACCTTTATGTATATCCATAATGCACTAGTCTTTTTTTTTTTTTTTAAGCTATAAGTAAATAGAAGATCAGCAAAATAGAGAAAAGGGAACAAAGAGAAGGAGAAGAGGGTAAGGGGAAGTATTGGGGACTGATATTAGAGCAAATTTTATTCCATGCTTGGATAATGATGTCAAAATAAACCAATATTATGTATAGATAAAATGAACTAACAACAAAAAATAGGAATAAAATTAATTCATATAGTTGGTAAAAGCACAAACACTGAAGGGACTAATAAACAAAAAAGAAGAGTTGTCTTTGTCCTCCTTCCCCTGGGTCTTGTTCTCAAGAGCCAATTCTACTAACAGTTTCTTTCTTTATCCTTCTGTGCATATAGAAAAGCACATGGCCTACTAGGGAGGCTGAAATAGGAGCATCACAAATTCAAGGCCAGACTTAGCACTTAGCAACACCCTATATCAAAATTAAGTTTAAAATGGCTGGGGATGCAGCTCAGCATTAGAGCACTTGCCTAGCATGTGTGAGGCCCTGGTTTCAACCACTAGAACCACTGGAGCGAGGGGCGAGGTGGAGGAGCCCATGTCCATACATATCTTTCTTTCCCTACCTAATATCTCAGAGACCTTTCAAACCAATTCAGAAATGAATTTAGCTCAAGATCAAGGTTGAAAACTCTTCCTGTTTTACTGATTGCTCAAGGGATAAGTGCATATGAAGTTACCGATCATGCCATTCATTCATTCCTGTCTGTCTGTGACTACCAGAAGCTGGGAGCCCTGGAGTCTTGTATTTCTTTTACAAATACCAAGTTGGTATATTTATTTTTTTTCAACAACCTCCCAAGAAACCTGATTTCTTCACGGACCCCAACAGTCAAGGTGAATCATCGGAAACAGCCAATATCCGTAACCTTGCAGACATGCCTGCACCCTCCCCACCCTTGAAATCCCTAAAAGTTTTGGAAAGCTCCAATGGAATTATAATTTTGAGCAGGCTTTGGGGTTCCAGGTTCCTGCAAGTACTCCCTATCTCTTCCTGAAGCACCAAGAGGCATCTACCTGTCAAACTTACCTGGACAGCAGGTATAGTACCCACCTTAACTATCCACTGTAAAAGACAGCAAGGGGGGACAAGAACCTACCCTAGAACTTTGAAGGAAGAAGAAACTCTGTGCTCAGTAAACAAAAGAAAGCTGGCAGAGAGTCTTGTGTTGTATTAAAGGGTGTGGGGAGGATTTACAGCTGCTTAGGCATGGGTAAGGCTTCACTGAGTTCTGTGCTTGAGAAGGAACTATTGAGTGTTCCAAGGGCATAGGGCTGCAAGTCACCCCTCTCACGCACTTCCTGTTTTATTGTTTGGTTTTCAGACAGGACCTTGCTATATTGCCCAAACTGACCTTGAACTCCTGGGCTCAAGTAATCCTCCTGCCTCAGTCTCTTGAGTCAGTGGGACCCAGGCATGTGCCACCATGCCTGGTTTATGGGTCCTCTCATTAGAAAAGGGGACACTGTCAATAAAAAAAATACCCCAGTCCCATCTTCCTGCCTCGCTGTCTCTTGTACATTCAGCACACATTTACCAAGCAGTGATCTTCGCCAGGCAGTGGAGAAAACAATCAGGTCCAGAAAACAAGGAAAACAAACACCAGGGCAAGAACTGGACTTCAGCGGCTGGGGTTGTGGCTCAGTGGTAGAGTGCTCGCCTGGCATGCACAAGGCACTGGGTCCGACCCTCAGCACCACATAAACGTAAAATAAAGATATTGTGTCCACCTAAAACTTAAGAATATTAAAAAAAGAAAAAAGAACTAGACTTCAGATTAGGATGGCTGACACTCCCCTCACTGTCCTCGGTGCCTCTTCCCAAACACAATCAGGGTGGGCAAAATATTTGTCGTTAACAAGACCAATACTAAGCAAGAAAGAACATGCTCTAGGTACCAGAACTGAGGTGGGAATCCAAAGCTGACACAAGAGCCAGTCCTAGGAGTACAGGAAAGAGAGACAGGCCTTGAGAGGGCCTGGGCTCCCAGCTGAGGCAGTGAAGCCAGAGACACCTACTTCAGAAGGTTTTCCGCTCCTGTCCGCATCCGTACAGCCTTCAGGATCTGCTGATTCAAAGCTGCCCTTTGATTCTGTAGTTTGCTTCGACCAGTTTGTGCAAGGGGATTACAGCCCTAAGGGAAAAATAATAAGAGATGCCCCGTCAGAGATCAGCCACTAAAAATGATGACAATATTTAAGAGAACCGAAAAATGTTTAACATAAAATAACCTCTAAAAGTAACATCAAAGAGAAAAACAAATAGCTGGGCGTGGTGGCTCACAACTATTATCCCAACAGTTCAGGAGGCTGAGGCAGGAGGATCACCAGTTCAAAGCCAGCCTCAGCAATTTAGTGAGGTCCTAAGAGACTTAGTGATACCCTTTCCTAAATAAAATATAAAAAAAGGGGCTGGGTATGTGGCTCGGTCCTTAAATGCTCCTGGGTTCAATTCCTGGTACCAAAAAATAAGATTCACCAGACTTGATATTATTATATATTATCATGAGCAAGACTTATCACAGCAGCTTAGTAAAGCTGCACAGACAGTCCAGATAAATCACATGCAGGCTTCTTTTATGTTCTCTCCCACCTATGATGGGTCACACAGCATATTCTTGTCCAGAACCAGAAATGCAACAACTTCATCCAAGTTAGCCCATTAGAGATTCTTTCCAGGATTTTTAGTGGGTGCTGATCACAAAGGCACCCTCTGCCTAGCATGTACTGAAATTCCAAATTCCTAGAAGGAAAGCAAATGTTCATCATAAACCATACTTTTGTACCACCATCTAGGCACAGAGAAACCTTACCAGTTAAAGAATGAGGAAAACACTCCAAGAACCAAGTTTCCAGATGTTAGCGAGGGCCAACCTTACAAAATAGTCCTTCCTATGGCACATATATTTTGTCAGGTTTTCTTTTCTTTTTTTTTTTGTACTGGAGATTAAAGATGGGGTGCCTCACCACAGAGCTACACCCCCAGCCCTTTTTATGTTTTGAGACAATGCTGAGGCTGGCCTCAAACTTGCCATCCTCTTGCCTCATCCTCCAAGTCACTAGGATTACAGGTCTATGCTACCATGTCCAGTTTATAACAAGGTTTTATATGGAAGTATGTTTTATTTTATTTTTATTTATTATTTTTTTGTTTTTTATTTTCTTGGCTGTGTGCCTAAGATGGGATTACTGGGTTACACCATTAATTCTATGTGACCATCAGACCATTTTCCAAAGTCACTATACTATTTTTACATTTCCATTAGGGTTTCCACTTATCCATATCTCATCAATATTTGTAAGGGTCTTTGTATTGTGTGTGTATGTGTGTAGTACTAGAGATCAAACCCAGGGCCTTGTGCATGCTAGGCAAGTGCTCTAATACTTAGCTACACTCCAGCCCTATCTTTTTTATTATAACTATGATAGTGTTTGCGGTATCCCATTGTGGTTTGGAACTGCCATTTCCCTGATGATTAGTGATGATGAACTTGGGCTGGGGGTATAGCTCAGTGGTAAAGCACTGAGTCAGCATGCATAAGTCCTTGAGCTTGATTCCCCTCACCAAAAAATAAAATATCACTCTGCTCATTTCAGAGTCTATAGCTGGGATATGGACCCTGAGGATTCCTGCACAGGTAAGGGTTCCTGCCCCATGTGAGTCTCCCTGTCCCTGGTCAGGTAAGCAGTAAAAGTCTTTTCATAGACTTATTGGCCATTAATAGATCTTCTTTGGAGAAATATCAATTCAGAATGTTTGCCCATTTCTAAGCTGGGCTGTCTTTTTATTTGTTAAGTTCAAAAGTATTAGTTTTAGCTGAACATGGTGGCACATGCCTGTAATCCCAGAGACACAGGAGGCTGAGGCAGAAGGATTGCAAATTCAATGTCAGTTTCAGCAATTTAGCAAGACCCCTTAATAAAAAATAAAAAGGAGCCAGCCGTGGTGATGCACCCTGTATCCCAGTGGCTTGGGAAGCTGAGGCAAGGGGATCATGAGTTCAAAGCCAGCCTCAGCAAAAGCAAGGTGCTAAGCAACTCAGTGAGACCCTGTCTCCAAATAAAATACAAAACAGGGTTGGAGATGTGGCTCAGTGGTTGAGTACCCCTGAGGTAATCCCTGGTACCAAAAATAAAAATAAAAAGGGCTGAGGATATGACTTTACAATAAAGTGCCCCTGGATTTAATACCCAGTATGGCAAAAAAATAAAAATAAAAACTTCCCATTCTCCTAATTTGCATGCTCATTATTAGTGATGGTATACACTTTTTAATACAGTAACTATCACTTAGATTTCTTTTTCAGTGAATTGTCTACTTGTGTTCTCTGCCTATATTTTCCTGGGGTTTTTGGGTTACAATGTTTCATCCTATTAAGTTTAAGATCAGAAACAATGTTTCATTTAAACCTAATGATGTGCTCTCCACCCCACACAGGTGTAAGCCCAGAGATCTAAGTCAGGACCACATTCTTCGTTGAAGCTTATCTGTAGGACTGGCAGCTGTGGCTACTCCCTGGGTGTGGCCTGGCAGGCAGTATTCGATGACGAGATCACCCTTTCTCTCCAACTGCGTCACTGCAGTCCAGGCTCTGCACACACCTAGCCTCCCCAACCTCACTCAATCAGAGCCACGCCCACAGCCCGAACCCCAGCAGGAAGAGGAGAGGCAGGTTACCAAGGTTACTACAGCCATCTTTCTCAGAAGTCCCCATTATCAGTGGCCTTTTGGACTGGTGAATCAGAAATGAATTACATTTTTCCTTCCACAAAGATTTCTCATTCTCACTTTCTAGCAGGTCACCACTATTTGTTCCCCACGCAGGCCCCACACCTAGTTTTCCCTAACTTACAAAAACATTTCCTCCCAGAGTTCAATTCACACAGATATTCAGAATTTGAGTTGGGATGAATCTTGAAGTTAGTACATTTTAAACCATTAAACAATCCCTTATTTAAACTTAAAATCAGAAAACTAATTATCTTTTTTTATTCAGATATAAGATAAAATTGTCCTTAATGTTAAGCCAATTGAACATTAAAGGGGTAAAATAACTTATTGGTCTCTTTCCTTTCCACTTCTGAAAATTACTGTGAAAGGCTGTTCAATTTGATTCAGAATTACATGGTTCACCAGTGCTCTGTTTTATTTTACAAAGATGCTTTAATAACTAATTCTTTTATGTATATTCCCAGAGCTCAGATAAGCAGCCATCACAGCATATGGATAAGAACTCTTTCCTGCTCCTATACTTTACCCAACTTCTGGAATCACTACGCCCTAACCAGCCCACAGATGCAGGGTCAAGTTTCTAGATAAGGCATAGGAATGTTGGGATTAGATCTGAGTAATTGGACCCAAAGCTACATTACTTCTCACTGACAGGTAGGAATGCTGGGCCCTGCTAAGAACACAGAAATGCCCACCGGGCGGCTTGGAAATTTTCCTGTGAGGTAAATCTGGGCAAGACATCCAGAAAAATCCCCTGGTATCATCAGAGGCTGTGAGTGATCAATCACTACATCCTTCCAAGGGGTTCTTTTCCTAGGGAGCCCCCTCAGTGGTTACCCACACATTTCTCCTGCCTGGTATTGCCTAGTAACAAGGCCCTAGCCCTGCATACACAGCTTCCAGCCCAGGCCCTGCAACTCAGTATCAGGGTCTCATTCACATAGGAATGTAGAGTGGGCCCCAAAACTGGAACACAGGCTTGTATCAGGAATCAGGGGCACCAACTGAGTTGTCCAATCCTCTAGGGTCACTGCTGACAAACTCCTATAACACAGTAAGACTTTCTCCTACACAGAGTCTATTATGTTCCCTTCCCAGGATTAAGTCCAAGCATTTCCATCAGTCTTGTAATGTGAAAGGATGATTGGACAGCAACCACCAAGAAAAGCAAGCACTGAGGGACTCTTCAGCATCATCGCTAGCTGTGTGGACATCTCCCAAGGGTCGGACACTTATGTGAACCCTGATACAGCACCTCAGCTCTCACAGCTTTGAGGCAAGGTGAGCTATCAGAGACTCAGGAGGAAATAAATATTGGAGTGGGTCTGCAGCTCAAATCCTTCCTGCTCCTTTGAGATGAGCTATGAGGCAGACACAGTGGTAGGAATGTGTGCAGATGCTGGGGCAGCTTGCCTGCCAACCCCCAGGCATCCCTCCACGTGCTCCCTGGCTCAGGGCGGCCCAGCGTTACCCCACATCCTTTGCGGAGCAGTGTGATCCATGCCCCTCTCCCACTGTGGAGCCATGATGGTCAGGGGTGGTAAGTACCTGTTCTCTTACCCGCTTTCCAAGAGGAAGAACCATCTGACTTATGCCTGGCCAGTTGGAAAAGCATGTTCCTTACTCTACAACTGGTTCAGGGATAAGCACATGAGACATGACAATCAGACTCAATCACAGCTCATCAAGAAGTTGCCGTCACTGGGCACAGTGGCACCTAGCTGTGATCCCAGTGACTCAGAAGGCAGAAGCAGGAAGATGGCAAGTTCTAGGCCAGCCTGGACTATTTACCAAGACCCTGACTCAAAATAACAAACAAAAGGTTGGGGATGTAGCTCACTGGTAGAGCCCACCTGGGTTCAATCCCCACTACTGAATTGAAATAGAGGCCCTCCTTGGCCTTAAACCTAGAAAGATAGAAGACTAGATGGTAGTAGCCATATTTCCACCAGTAGGGGAGTATCTCCCCAGAAATGGAACCACCCTAGACCTGAGAAGACAGCTTTAGTGACAGCATTTGAGCCCTTGATCAAGCCAGGCCTGAAGTCATTCCTCTGGACTTCTCAGTTACAGGAGCCAATTCATTCCCTTCCTTGCTAAAGCTGTTCCCTCTACTATTATTATTATTATTATTATTATTATTATTATTATTATTATTAATGAGGTTTAATTTACATATAATAAAATACACAGATTTTTAAGCATACAGTTCCATGAGTATGGACAAATGTGCATACCTGTGGAGCCATAAATCCTATCAAATTATAGAACACTTCCATCAGTCCTAGGCAGCCCACACCCTGACATCCATCACCACACGTTTCTATCTGTTCTAGACCTTTGTAAACAAAATCGGATAGTATGCATTCTTTTGTGTCTGGCTTATTTCACTCAAAATCATGT